GATTACGACTCCCAGATTCGGTTATACAAATTCAGTAAATACTGAGACACGCATGGAGGGAGATGGCAAAGCATCTCATAGTAAATATTATCTGAGCCCGCTGCAATGGAACCGCAAAGGGCCAGAGCAAACTGAAGTTCGGAGAGAGAGAAAATATCGTTATTGGGAAGTCGGAGATGAGTGCGGAAATCTAAAGGATGAGCTTCAAGAACGGGCTTATGAAGAAGGAAGGATCGAGGTAGATTAGAACTGAAGCTAACAGTCGAAAAGTGGAAACTCAGTTCGGTTGCGACCGTCACTGGATCCACCACAAAAGTACCATGAAAGTGAAGGACTGGTGAGACATCTGGAAAAAACTTACCCACTATTTGCAGATTTTCTTCCAGATCTGCGCCAGAGGAGTATTGGACGCAATAGTATAGGCCTAAAACTTCCAACTCTCATGTTTAACTGTATGGATGGTCCTACGGGCAACCTCACTCGCCTTCCGAAACAAAATAAAACACCGCCTGTTGGTGTGTCTTCCAGGCTGCACACTTACAGCGGACAGTCCGAGCACAGTCTGCATTCCATCAAAGAATGCACTTCTGCATGCCCCGGGAGGTAGAGCAAGGAATAGAGCAGACGGCAGCAGCAAATATAGTGTCATGAAAAAGGAGGAGGGGTTCGAGGGAGAGGCAGAGCGGAGAGATCGGAAAGAGTTGCAAAGAGGGTGAATAGATTCCAGGCAGCCTTGGCAAACTGCCACCTAGGAAAGGAGAGGGGAGGGTGAAAAAAGAAAAAGGTGACAAGGACGGGGGAAATGGTCACTGTTATGGAGGTCATCAAGAAGCCGCCATGTAAAATCTAAGTAAAGAGAAGACAATTAGAGAAAAAGATCATGACAGGAGAGGGTGCGAGTGCGGGAGTCCACATGCGTGGGTTCACCAGAATTCAGAAGAGACAGCGAAGAAGTGAGGACAAATGGTTCGGGAAGGCGGCCCACGGGTGTTTGTCAGAGCATCACCACAAAGGGTATGCCGACAATTGAAATTACCTAACAGGAGTACAGGCTCTGGTAATGAGTCCAACAGGTGCTTAAGATCAGGAAGAGAAAGTGGGACGTTTAGGGGGAGATAAATGAAACAAACTGTATACCATTTACTCACAAAGATACGGGCCACAGAACATTGGATAGGAGACGAAAAAGTAGAGTGACGAAGGAAATATCAGTACGAATCAAAAGAGCAGTAGAATTATGGGCCCTAGCAAAAGCTGAAGGAGGGGGAGAGAAAGGAATTACCAAGAAAGTGACCAGGACGAGCACCAAGCATCGGCTCCTGGAGACATACATAAAGCGGTGAAAACTGTGTTATCAGAAGTTGGTATGAAAACCACGAATATGCCATTGAAGAATAAACATTGTCAAACGGAGAGAGAACAGCAACAGTGAACAATGAAAAGACAAAGGCAAAGAAGAACGTAGTATACTAAATAATATCAGGATCAGGATCAGCAAAATCAGGGTTAGGGGGCATGGGTAAATTTAGCAGCGACGATGAAGTTAAGGGAGTGGGAGGAGAGACCAGAGGCAGACGGACAGTATCCGGAGCGGGAGGAGGTAATAGAGAGGGGCTGACAAGGAATTCATGGGGAGGGGGGGACAGAAACAGGGGAGCGTACCTCAGCAAGAGCAGCAACCGAGAGAGAATCCAAGGCTAAAGGAACCTCCATAGCAGGGACAGGGGGCTCGAGCACCGAAATGGGAGGGGATGCAGTGATAGAGTCGGATTCAGAGGGTGGGTAATAAAGCGATGCCTTCTTACCTGCCTGGGAGGAAGGAGGAGAGGAGCCAGGCTTACGTTTCTGACTTAAAGACAGGTGTGTGCCTGCAGCAGCGTACTGGACGACAGTCTCCATAGTCTCAACATGAAAAGGAGGGAGCAATCAACATGAAGACTGCTGGGAGGATGATGGACAACAGCCTGGACAGATAGGTGGCATGGAGGGCTAAGAGACAGGGGGGGGGGGTAAGAAGGATCGGGGGGAGATGGGGAAGAAGGCACAGGATACATGGCAAACTAGGAAGGAAGGAGGGAAACATCAGTTAGAGAACCAGGAGAGGGACCCCTTGGGTCAGAACATAATGGAACAGGGAAGTAGGCAGTGGGCATGTCTGGGTCTAATTCCTGGAAACGGTTGTGAGACTGAGAAATGAGGGAAGGGCGAGGAGATGTGGAACATAATACACAAGCATAAGATACACTAGCGAAAGAGGAGAGACGCCAGACTTGGCATCTCGCCCCAGGAAAAGACAAACGATCGATTTGCTTCAAATTGAGGATGGCTTCCTCAAATTTGTAGTATATACACACACGGGAGAAGGTAGTGTGGGTATCACTGCAATGGAGGCAGTGAGCCTGGGAAGAAGAACACTCCATCTTAGAGTGACCTGAGTCCCCACATATGGGGCATAGACATACTGCACTCGTGCATTTGAGGGCACAATGTCCAAATTTCTAGCACTTATTGCAAAATCTAGAAGAGGGAATGTACTCCTGAACGGAGCATATGAACGGAGCATAAGTTGTCTTCACAACTCGAAGAGGCTGATGCCAATGACCACGAGGGTCAAATGAACGTATCAACCTAAAGGACAGAATAGTCTTGGGCTTCAAGGATATATTTAATATACTCGTTGCAGTCTTTCAGGCCCCTAATATCAGGTGCAACATCGTGCGAAAGGATAACAGTGCCAATATTGGCATTTAACCAGGCATTGTCCCAATGCTGGACAATGCGGATAAGCGGGCAACTGCATCCTGAGGAGCAGGAAGAGCAGCAACGACACGTGTACCAAAATGATTGGGGTTAAAAGTAACAGAAGCATCCACCGAATCAACGAGGAAAATGAAGGAAGAAATCGTCAGCACATGTAGAATCCAGATGGTTTAGATCAAAGTATTTAGTCCAAGTAGCAGGACCAAACAAGGCGTGGAACATATTAGCACTGGAAGGAGTCATGCGAGTGCGTCTGTGGGGAGGGTCGGCGCCAAGTAACCCCAGTGAGAGGAAGGGTAAAAAGGCGCAGTTGTCACAAGGAGAGAAGTAGCCACTCCAGGTGATGAGGTTGTCACCACTGGGGGCTTGGGGCTCAACCACAGAGGAGCGGAGGAGGGTAGTAGGGAGTGGTCAAAGGCGTAGCTTTGTCTGGGCCCAGTGTAGCGGGGGCTACAGAGCCCGGTCTTCCAACACAGTCTGTCTGACTTATGCAGCCTGGTCGCCCACCCCACGGGCCTGGGAAGTTATAAAAGGATCATTCAGCAGCATAGAAACAAAAAGGAAATAATTTAATTCACGAATAAACCCCCATTCCTACTATGGAGCCACAATTAGAGGATAGGACATGCAACATAAGACATACATAATGCAGCCCCCCCATGAATGCACCATGAGTATACACCCCACAATTGCCACCTTAAGAACCGTCAGTCCGTCGAGATCGGGTTCAGCAACGAAGGCGAGGATTGACAATAAAAGCGTCCCTCACTCGAAACATCGGGTACCACAGTTCTACGGGTGAGAGAGTTTTTGGGTAGTGTGCCTCCCCAAATACCCAGGCGTCAAAACAGATGTCCAAAAGAATGATCAAGAATGGCAAAAATTCGGCGGGAAATGACAATTAGAAAGGAGAAGAGTGGGGAGGAAAAATGAAAGATAAGGAAAAGGAAATAGCTCCCAGCAAATTTAGTGAAGATGGAAGCAGGAGCATAAGGCGTCAAAAGGACAGAGGACTGTCCCACGGACCATTACACCCCGGCAGCCGCCCACCAAGCCCCCTCACAACGACAATGGGCTGGAAAGGGTGGGGGCTGTCACAGAGTAACATGGGTACATAGTTTCACGTTGACCCCCCTTCCCCTCACATATAAAAATACCATTCTTAAGCTCATTTTGCATTCTGAAGAGTACTGCAAGCTCATTTACCTTAGGAATTATACTAAGGATTTAATTTTAATATTAGGAAGCAAACTGCAGCCACGGATTCAGAATATATTAGCAGAAATTATTGATAGTACATTCATCCCATAAAAAAAACACAGGGGCTTTGTGAAGTTATTTAGAACTGCTTTAAACCCTTAATTATTATCCGACTAACACTTGAGTACCCTGTTTTATCGATTGCGTACCATGTCAGAGAACACCACAGTACTATGCACTCACGAGATCAGGCATGTCCCAGCCTATTGTAGTCCACCTGTTCTATGTGATATGCTTGACCCCACCCATGGTGGGGTTTTTGGCTAGGGGTCCCTCCTTCTAGTCACGTGACATCCCCAAGAAAAATTGCGAATGCCTCAGGGCATCGAACCTAGTGTAAATCCCCAGAGATTTCAGAGAACATTACAGAAAACGGAGTTCAGAATGAGGGCAACCTACACTATTCAGTTATGCTTCTCCCCTCCCCCCCCCCCCTCCAAAATTCTTTCTCCTTTTTAAAACACATATATTTTCCAGTCAAACATACATGACATGCAACACAGTCCTATATGCATAACATGCTTTGACATATCAGACAAACCCCCCAAAAACAACTCAAGGCCAACTTGTACCCTATCCCAACATTCCAAAAAATCTTTACTCTTTTTTGACCCCAGGGGTTGATGTTTTTGCAACAGTGCCCAATTGCTGCCAAAATCATGGGCGCAATTTGTCTCCCTTCCCCCTACTCACGTAGAGATGAAGGTGCATGTCTAGATGTAGGTGCATGAAGAGATACTGATGCATGTAGAGATACAGGAGCATGTAAGAATACAGGTGCATGTAGAGATACAGGTGCATGTAGAGATACAGGGAATTTAGATCAGGGTAAGTGAAGAAAAGAAAAAAAGAGTTGTGAAGAAGACGGTGAGATTAGAGAAAAGATAAAATAATTGGCTAGTGAAAAGTAGTAATTATATTGCGATTGGATTAGTAATAGCATTTGAGGTGTTAGTGGAGGAGTAAGTGGAGTCAGTTACCTCTTAGGATGACGGAGAGGGAGACCAGGCCCACCTCTTGAAGGTTAGGAACATCGTAGATGACAAGAGCGTAGTTGTGGAAGAGGACGTCTCCCCTGTACGGAGAGAAAAACACAGTTTCACATTATATGTTGTCAAGATCTACCAAGTTGCGTCACTGTATGCTATACTCGTATATTAATATGCATAAAACATCTAGAATATCCATAAGAATAGATACTTGTCTTTGTAATATATCTCTTATGATGACCCAGTGCCACAAGACTCTCACCATGATGACCCAGTGCCACAAGACTCTCACCATGATGACCCAGTGCCACAAGACTCTCACCATGATGACCCAGTGCCACAAGACTCTCACCATGATGACCAAGTGCCACAAGACTCTCACCATGATGACCCAGTGCCACAAGACCCTCACCATGATGACCAAGTGCCACAAGACTCTCACCATGATGACCCAGTGCCACAAGACTCTCACCATGATGACCCAGTGCCACAAGACTCTCACCATGATGACCCAGTGCCACAAGACTCTCACCATGATGACCCAGTGCCACAAGACTCTCACCATGATGACCCAGTGCCACAAGACTCTCACCATGATGACCCAGTGCCACAAGACTCTCACCATGATGACCCAGTGCCACAAGACTCTCACCATGATGACCCAGTGCCACAAGACTCTCACCATGATGACCCAGTGCCACAAGACTCTCACCATGATGACCCAGTGCCACAAGACTCTCACCATGATGACCCAGTGCCACAAGACTCTCACCATGATGACCCAGTGCCACAAGACTCTCACCATGATGGCCCAGTGCCACAAGACTCTCACCATGATGACCCAGTGCCACAAGACTCTCACCATGATGACCCAGTGCCACAAGACTCTCACCATGATGACCCAGTGCCACAAGACTCTCACCATGATGACCCAGTGCCACAAGACTCTCACCATGATGACCCAGTGCCACAAGACTCTCACCATGATGACCCAGTGCCACAAGACTCTCACCATGATGACCCAGTGCCACAAGACTCACCATGATGACCAAGTTCTTCAAACTACTTCCATGATTGTTCCAAAGAAGGATAACACTAACCTGATGAGTGCGAGATTAGGGAAGAGTCGGCCAAGGGAGGTGAGGTTGAAGACGCGGTAGATGAGAAGGTGGTGAGTTATCTCCCTCAGGCCAGGGAAGGAGTACAGAGAGAGGCGCTCGAGGGAAGAGTTGTCACTCTGCCACGAAGAAACAATGGATAGCATTACAATCAGGACGGGTGGATAGACATGCATATTTTATGTAAGGGGCATATACAGACATAGATATGCTGGTAATAAGAATGCAGAAAATGATTAGATTAGAATGCAGTTATCATCATCCAAGAAAAGTTTAAATATGCTTAGGAAAGAACTGTGTCAATTTGGACAACATGTACGTTTTTCCATTATGACATGTGCCAAACCTCACTCGAGGACAGAAAATGCTATGACCTCAGCGTCCCACACTTTCACGTGAAAGGCACGGAACGCTACATAAAGAGTGGCAAGCAAGATAATGAATTTGGAGGATATTCAATTAATTTTTTATACCGAAAGAGATTTCAAAAGGGGGGAACATAGATAATTTGTGGAACTGGATGACAGACCCACTTGCATACCAGAATCACAGATCCAATTACACACACCAAAAAGGAACTCCAACTACGACAAGCAACTGCCCTACGACAATCAGCACTGGTCAGAACAAACTCAATAAATCCACGCATGGATTTAATGGACCTGCCAAAAAATCTCCCAGTCAAACTATCACAAATAGAGTAACCTCATTCATCTTTGCCAACATTCAAGGACTAATAACAAGAACATAAAACAAAGTACAATTCATAAATGGCCTCCTCACTGAATCAAATACAGTATTTGGAGCTTTAACAGAAACCCATGCAGGGTGGAATTCTTGGACTGTGAGATCTGGCTACCAGGATATAATCTATACAGTTGTGATATGGTAATTAGGTCACATGGAGGAGTGTGTCTGTATCTTAGGGAAGACCTTGTATGCTCAGAACACCTTAACTCTACAAATAAGAAAATAAACTTAGTTATTATTCTTATATAGAAACCGCCAGATGCAACGGCTGAGGAATTCGCAAAACAGATTAACAAAAACAGAAAATAGCCGTAATAATTTGGCGAACCCGATACCTGATATTATCTTCCTTGATGACTTCAACTTGCCAAATCTAAGATGGAGAATAGCAAACAATAATATTATACCAGGAAATCTATCGGGACATAACCAACCGCAGATTAAAGAAGTGCTTAGATTCTCCGACAAATTTTCACTCAACCAGCAGATATCAGAGCCAACGAGAAACGAAAATGTTCTAGATCTGGTCTTTACAAACAATGAAGACATAATCAGGGACATTACGATATCAGATACCACATACTCGGATCACAAGCTCATTGAAGTGCAATCTACAATCAATA